ATTTATTCTTTAAAAAAAAAAAAAAAAGTCGTTTGCCTTAGGCCTGTCATTTTGTAAAATGAGAAATAAGTTTAGTATTTGGGTGGGATGGGTGTGATAGTGTTTTAGGTTCAAAGGCATAATAAAAAGTTTACTCTCAGTGATACTGACTTTTCTATTGAGCTGAGTAAAGCAGTTCGTTCTTCTAGTGATGGCATTATAAGTCAGGAAAATAATCAAACTTGTTACCCAGTTCTGTTTTAAAATATTGGCCAAGAGTTCATGACAGGTTTTGATAGTTATGGCACCTGAAAAGTACTTAGCTATATCCTTAAAGCACTGTACAGAATCAAGCATAGTCATTCAGCTGTGAAAACAAGCTAAGAAATTAGATTTAATTACTTTAAGCACTGCAGATTTTTTAGCTAATACTGCACTGATTATTTTTAGTCTAATATGGAGGATGGCATTTTATTTTTCTCCTCCTAGTACTGCCCTATTTTAGATTGGTTTAATTTGATGCATAGATCTTAAGTTCCTGCTCATTTCAGAGATTACATTTTCTTTAAGACTGACATTGACTAGCTTTGTGTTTAGGGGACTGTGTCTTTTTTTACTCTTAAAGGTAGTGTGAACATATGCTCACTTTAGTATATAATTACGACCTTTCCTGATAGGCGTGTACAAGGAATATTTTCACATGCTCGTCCTTATGGAATTAGAAAGTTCAGAAGATAGAACAATGATTTTGCTTTAATTTGTATATCAAGTAAATACAGTTTAAGTGAGATTCATATTTAAAACTAACCACAAGTGAAAAGAAAGTACCATGCATATAGCACAAATGACACAGAGCCATATTCTGGAACCACATCGAGTGTGTGTCTAAATTATTGTAATGACTTGGTTTCTCAGGAATGACTTAAAATAACTGTAGTTTATTGTAAGACCAATGTGATCAGCTTGTGAATAAAGTTAAGGTAGCCTTATTTAAAAAAACAACAGAAGCAAACAACAAAACACTGTGAAACTAATAAAATCGATTAACTTCTGAAGTTCTGCATCCTGGGGCATAGTAACAAAGTAGGATTTCTGTGCATTATTCCCTCCTTAGAGCCCAGGAGTAAAGAGGTATTATTATTAATATTAAGCTTTGAGTTATTGCTGAAGTGATCTGCAATGCCGGGGTTTCTAAATGTTAGGCTTGTAAGGGTACTGATAAAGATTTCCTGGTCACCTGGCGTTAGTTTCCCTTGAGGGTGATTTGTGCAAAATTGCTTTAAATAGAAGGTTTGCAAATAACAGAATAGCTGTCAGAACCACAAGGCAAACTGGGAACACCCCCACCCCTTTTTTAATTGCCAATTCTGAATGTTCCTGTGGTAAAAGCCTGCTGGAGGTGAATTTTGGTTGGCCAGGACAGCCTTCTAGCAGACCTTGTTTCAAAACAGACAATGGGCTGAAATTTTTAAATATATTAAAACTGTGTTTGGTTCCATCTAATATTTGTTGGTCTTTGATGTTGAAAAAACCCAATTTATTAACATTCCACTGGAAAACATTCTGAATTGTAACCTTTCTTATTTATCCAGTAAATTTCGGGTATTCTCATGTGTTCCACACAGAGGTATTCTCATGGTTTAGGTAAAATACAACTTTTATCCTGTGTTGTTTGGAAATGCCGTACTAAAAAGCTATAAAAATACCCTCTTACTGTGTACGAGAAACGACACAAGAGAGGACATCTCTGCAACACGATTAATTTAGTTTTCCTAGTAAGAAGTTAGATGTACAAAATCTCTTAGAATTGCTAGTAAAAATACTTGTTTATCTGTGCCAATTGGTTACATGTGAACTCCCACATTCCTGTGGTCCAGACTAGGCCAGGTACAAGGGACAAGGTCCTTGCCAAGCTGCCAGTACAAACATCTTTTTGTAAGCTTACTCTTTTTCAGACAAGCCATTTAAAACAGACTATGGTATTGACTGTAGATTAGAGGCATAGTGTTTGGCAGATCCCTGAATTTTAAAATGGAGGAAGGCAAAACACGCAAAGGAAATATGGAAATGGTATCTGAGAAATTCAGTGTCAGCAGCTTAGTAGTAAAATTGTGTGGATAATAACTTACTATATAGTGCTATAACCTTTTACATACTTTGTAGAGTAGTACTAATAGAAATAACAAACCCTAAAAACAACTGATAGTTGCCAAGAAAGACAGAAGCATATGTCTTTAGTCAGGATAAAATCTCTCTGAATTTCTTTTTTGCTGGACCTGGACATTTTTAGTGTAATCACAGTAATAATCATAGTAAATTGAAAGTAGTTTAGTTACAAAGACTTAAGCTTTAAGAAACTTCTCAAGAAAATAGGGGGCATATGACTTGAATATCTGCAAACAGCTGTGTTTGTTTCTAGCCGCCAGAACCAACTTAAAGATCAGCAACACCAGCAGCAGCAGCAGGTAGTGTCCCTCTGTCAGCTTCCAGATGAGGCAGAGTGTCTGACTGTGCCAAGGTACAAGCGAGACCTAGTGCAGAAACTCAAGATCCTGAGGCAAGAGCTGTCACAGCAGCAACCTCAAGCTGGCCATTGTCGTATTGAGGTCTCCAGGGAAGAGATTTTTGAGGTAATTTGAGAATTTGACCCGTTTCTTAACATTGAGGGAAGGGGAGGAGGGTTGTTCATAACTGTCTAAAGAAGTCATTCAGTTAGATGAAATCTTGAAGTCTGGAGTTAAAGCTGGAATTTTACGGGTGGCAAATGGGAAGAGGAAGCATTTCAAGGGGATGGTAAGAACAGTCGTGTAGTTGAAGTAGATGTATTTACCCTGTAGAGAAAAAGAAAAATGAGGAGAGCTTTCCCTGTGGCTGGAGATGTACAGCCTGTGTCAGGGATTGAGGAAGGAGTCCAAGCACTTCATGTATTTGAAGATACACTTCTTCCTTGGATATAAGAACGCTAATGTCTGTTACAGAGGGAATGTTACAAATTGAAAACCAAACAATTATTAATGATCTTTGATCTATTGTAACTTAAGTAAAATTACTGTTGAATAGCATTCATCTTTGGAGTTTGGATTACTTAGCATCTCAGTTCTGATTGATTCCCACCCCCACCCCCCCGAGAATCAGACCAATTTTAGGAATTGTCTAGGTGTCTAGGCTTCTGAATGACCAGAGATGCCCACAGTGGGATATCTGCATTTTATTTTGTGACATTATTCAGCAGAATTATTCTGCTGAATTGATTAAACACAGTTATAATTCATTGGCTTTTTCTGGAGAACAGTCTGTTGTCTTGAGAACTTTATCACCTATCCCTGTTGCATTTTTACCCCACCCACAAACTTGACAGCCCCTCTGTGTTGTCACAGTTTTTCCAGCCAAGTAAGATTTGTCTTCCCTTTGGAGACAGTCAAATCAGTTCATAATCAACTAAAAAAAAAAAAAAAAAGAGGAAAGGCTCCTGTACAGCAGTGAAAATTATTATGTTCTTGTTCTGAAAATTTGACTATGTTGGGTCCCAGACACACCTGCTTCTTCTGTTCTGCAGAGCCAAAGATTGGGGCACCCATACTGGACATAAGTAAAAACTAGACTTTTTTGGTTTAATTCCTTTTTAAAAACTAGCATTTGTTCTGCCTCTTTCAGCTTTCTTCTTGTGTTTTCTTGGTGAACTCTTACTGATAGAGGACTAATTCTGTAGATTTACGGGGATGGCACTGATGATGCTTCTGTTCTTAAGATGCTTCTTGAAGGTTTGCATGTGTTACACCCAGAGTAGAAGCTCCACTGTTGGCTTTTCAGACTGCAAAAATTGTGAGCCTTTATGCAAAACAAAAGGAGTTTACTGACACAGATTTTAATTTTTTGTAAGTTATGTGAGCATGAGAGAGAGAATGTTCTGATGACTGTACACCTCTGGAAATTTAACAGAGGGTGGTTCTTCTCACATGTCTGTTTTATCTGACAAGTGTTATCACATTTGTAGAAAACTAAGTAACAGTCTGTGATTTGAGAAACTGGTTAGTATCTAGGAAAATAGTATCCCCTTCAGGCTCAAAGTCTGAGACTCCATTTCTAATAAACAGTAGTAGCTGCTTGTCTGTGAATAGCAGTTAATAAGAGTGTTATGTGTTTACAGGAATCCTACAGGCAAGTCATGAAGATGAGGCCAAAAGACCTGTGGAAACGATTAATGATAAAATTTCGTGGGGAGGAAGGCCTTGATTATGGAGGTGTTGCCAGGTAAACAGTCCGTCCTCTGTCTCTTCCCCTGCACCCCAACCCCACCATCTATGCCTGTGCTTTGAATCCTAAACCAGCCTCGTATCAGCCCTGTTTCTTTTTCCATTATTTATATTTATTTCTGTAACAGATTGTATGTCAGAAGAATGTATTTTCAGATAGTATTTTAAAGGAAAAACTGCAAAAATAACTAATATATTGTAAATAAATCAAAACACGTCATAGATCGCATCAGATATCTGTCATATATGCGAGACAGGCTTTTGGTGTCTATTGAAACTACTGTATTTTTCTTTGGTTAGTAAAGCTTGGGTATCTGAGAATTTATACCACTAAATACTTGGCTTTGTGGCAGAACTTTGGTCAAAAAATGTGCTTTATTGCAAATTGTCACTACTGTTTGAAGCAAAACATTAAAAACTAGCAGTTAGTAGGCAACAAAAGTCTGTCAGGAGTCTGTGAGGTTATTTTTCACTTGCTTATAAAAAGTGACATTTACTGATTGTATGAAGATATTCTTGACATGTTAAAACAGTGTTAGGAATTGTATTGGCCAATGGCACAGATGCTGGTTTACTTCACCAAAAATATTCCCCGCCTCTGGGTCTGCTCTCTAAATGAGTGTTGACTCAGTTAGGAGCATTCATTGCATTTTTTTACCATTAGTATTCATTTCAAAGTGCAGACGATGCTCCCAAACAGCCCACCTGCTGCATCCGTAGTTGGTGTATGGCAAGTAACCCCTGGGACCCAGGCTGTTACGCTGCATGTATCGTCATGAGTTTGCAGATGGCCAGTGGAGTTTTCACTTCATCCATTCCTAAATATTTTAACATGCTAATTAGTCATAACTAGTAAAACAGCCTTGTTGAATCAGTTAATACTAATTGTTTGATGATGATAATAGTGTTCAAAATAAAGAAGGTACAGATGTTATTGCTTGCTGTTTTCCAAAGTAGCTGCTAGTATTTTTTGGCATGGGTTTTGTTTCTAGTCTGTATGCCGTGGAGCCTTTGCCATCTTCCGTACATGAATACAGGAAGACCAAGCTAGAAAATGTTATGGTTTTCCCAATTCTTAGACCATTATTTACTGATTTATGAACATGTAATTAAAACTTGAATTAAATATGTCTGTTACCTGAAGACAGTTTATATTAAAAGCTTTGACTCGAACATCTCTGTAGTCTAGTCAATAGAATACATAGTGTCTTGTCTCAATGTGTAATGGATAAAGGAGAATTACAGTCAGAAACTCTCCTGGAAATAAGTAACCCGGAGAAAAATCTTGGAAAGCTGGGAAATACATCAGCTGTCAGGGGCTGTGCAGTTACTGAGCCAGTAAAAATAATTCTGATCTCAGCCTTATCTAAGCATGTTCAGAGATAACTTTCTTCACGTTTATGTTTAACAGTAAGGTTAAAAATCATACTATTCTGAAAAGATTATCAGTGTAGGAATGCATGTGTCTAAAGTACACAACAAATTTTATTTTCTTCAGGGAGTGGCTCTACCTGTTGTCACACGAAATGTTGAATCCGTATTACGGTCTCTTCCAATATTCCCGAGATGATATCTATACACTGCAAATCAACCCAGACTCTGCAGTCAACCCGGTACGACTGGTAACATGCGTTCTGTAAATGATTGTTTTATGACTAGAAATTAAATACATCTGGAGAGTGTTCTAGACTTAGGAACCAAATTCTCACATTAGTATTGCCTGAGACTGAATTTGTGCAATAATATGATAATTTATTTTTAGTACTGATCAAAGAAACGTCTCAAATGTGTTCTTAATTTTCTGTAAGATGTCTATTTATATTTCCTTTGGGAGAAATTAAGTTTATTTTGATTCTTAGTACTAAGACTTCTGGACTGGAAGCAATATACTCAACGTGCTGTGTATAAAAACAAACAAAACAAAACAAAAAGCTCTATGTATGTTGGGTTTTTTTCTTTTGTATTGAAATTTTATTTTGTATTCAGCAGATGTAACCTGGAGGTTTTATTTAGCTGAATGATTTAATCTCTTCTTTCAATTCTAGGAACACTTATCATATTTCCATTTTGTGGGACGGATAATGGGGATGGCTGTGTTTCACGGACACTATATTGATGGGGGCTTCACGTTGCCTTTCTATAAGCAGTTGCTAGGGAAGCCAATTACTTTGGATGATATGGAATTGGTTGACCCTGATCTTCATAACAGCTTAGTCTGGATACTGTATGTACTGTGTATTATATCTTACAAAGTTAGAATTCTGTCTCAGTTAAGACGTGATAATGTTCCTAAATCCAGTTGAAAAGAAATGAAGTATATTTTTGATCTCCCGCTCAGGCAGATTTAAGAAACATCTTTCTTGTACAATTCACCTTTTTAAAAGCTTAACATGTTCAAGGTATTCAAATTTGGGGGGCGGGGAGAGGGAGATAAATGATTACTGAGCTGTGAAGTGCTCAGTTTGTAGATTTTAATGTATTAATTTTGCCTATTATTAACAGTAACATGTTACTAAAATATAACATTGAGACTTTGATAATGGTTTTAAAACATAACATAGTAAAAATGTATGTTCACTGTTTGCTTCCAAGCAGTAATTTGAAATGCTATTGAAAAACTGAAGTGTGATGTCTGTCAGATATATTATGGCTGGAATATATTTGCAGAATATGTTTTCACTGAGTCACTTGCTTATTTTTTTTTTTCCACCAGTGAGAATGATATCACGGGAGTCTTGGACCATACGTTTTGTGTGGAACACAATGCGTACGGGGAAATTATTCAACATGAACTGAAACCCAATGGCAAAAGCATCCCCGTGACAGAGGAAAACAAAAAGGAATATGTCAGGTACATCAATATCTTTTCCAAAGTTTTTTATACTTCCTGTGGTGGGTTACTTATTTGCAGTAATTGACAGTGTTGGTTTTTTTTCTAAGCAGTAGTGCAAGTGTTGTGTGTATTCCTGTCAGTAAGGCCTTTTTTTTTTTTTTTTTTGGCTGGATAAATTGCAGGTTTATTGTATTTGAATACATCTTTCACAAAACCAATTTGCACTTGCTTGCAGACTTTATGTAAACTGGCGATTTTTACGAGGAATTGAAGCTCAGTTTCTGGCTCTACAGAAGGGATTTAATGAAGTAATCCCACAACATCTGCTGAAGACATTTGATGAGAAAGAGTTAGAGGTCAGTCCACTAATGTTATGCTATGTCGTCAAGTGTAACAATGAAAGCCTGAGGCATTCTTCTGAGACCGAGTAACATGCGAAGCTGTATCCCCAGTGCTTCAGGGGTTTGCAGGTGCGGTGTTACAAGAAACGCAGTTAGCATAAGAGGTTAGCGGGTCACACAGTCACTGAGACTGCGTGTGCCTTCCACCGAGGGCCGTGAGAGTGTTTCTCAAGGCGACATTTCCTAGCAACTGCAGAAGTGGTAGGAGACCCTCTCCTATAGCTGAAAACACAGCAGAGCCTACTGAGAAGTAACTGCGGTGACCTCAGATGGTTTCAGAGTGCGCTACTCCAGCAGAGGTGCTGGTGTGTATTTCTCACGGTGCAGTTCCACGATATTAAATTTGGTGCTGCCAGGAAAATAGTCTGTCGCTCCCTTCCACCTCCCACCACTTGCTCCCAGCCCTTCCAGCGCGCTGCACTGACTGTGGTGTCAGGCAGCTATGTGGTTTTGCAGAGCTGAGTTATGCCAGACTAAACTGGCCCTGTAAATACAGCGTAAAGAAAGGTGCTGCCTGGTGCTGTCACCAACAAATGTGCTACAAAACGTCAAGATCAGCATCCAGACAATATCTTCTCAAGGCAAATCCCATAGATCCTAAGCTTGTTTTAAAACTGAAATCTAATATGTTAGCTGCGGAGCTGAGGTTTTTGCCACATGAAATGGCCACAAGGTAAATTATTCATACTTTCTTCTGTTCACTGTACTAGAATGTCAGTGATTGCTCTTCTTTTATCCTGAATATTCTCATTCAACAATAGTGAGCCAGCCACACCGTTAACCCAGAATCATTTTGCAGATGCAGAATAAGAAAGGGGAAGGTCCAGTGTTCTTAGTCAGAAGAAAATGTCTTCATAATCATATTCCTATTGAGCTTAAACTGATGGATTGTGGATCTGCATTTTAGAAGCGCTGAAAGCTCTTTATCAGAAGAGAAGTCTGATTTGTATTACATGTGTGGTAGGACAAAAACAAGATTACTTTTGGGGGGCCAGAGTTGGACCAGCCAAACTACACCCTCAGCTACACTCCAGAAGGAAATACTGAGTTCAGATGTGAATTATGCATGCGCTTTCACGCATGGGTAGAACCTGTGCTTCTGTTATTTAATTGACAGGTCAAGACACTTTTCATATAAGCTTATGAAATGATTGCCTTTTTTTTTTTTTTTTTATTTGAATTGAGGCCTTTTAAAAAATGGATTGTGTGCAAAGGTAAGATTTAAAAAAAAAAGTTACATTTCTGCATTGCTTAAGATTAGTGAGAGACTATAATTTACCTTTGGTATAAAATGGGTTGATTTTTCAAAATCAGTTACTCATCATTTGGCTAGCTCCAAAACCATTTTTGTATCGATGAATGATGAAATATTTAATTATATGTTAAATTTACAGCTCATCATTTGTGGACTGGGAAAAATTGATGTTAATGACTGGAAGGCAAATACTAGGTTAAAACACTGTACCCCAGACAGCAACATCGTGAAATGGTTCTGGAAAGCTGTGGAGTTTTTTGATGAAGAGAGGAGAGCGAGACTTCTCCAGTTTGTGACTGGCTCATCCAGAGTGCCTCTGCAGGGCTTCAAGGCATTACAAGGTAAGGTTTCTCCAGAAGTGACTGGAAATGCCTGTACTTGGAGGAAGCAATAGGAGGCCTCACAGAAACATTAGCTGAAAATGAGGCCGGTTGGCTGCAATGTGACCTTTTGAGAGTGATTTTTAATGGTCTGATGAATAACAATCACAAATAGTCTTTTTTTGTGTGTTTGTTTATTAACTTGTTATTCAGCTGTAAATGGCTCTTTTGTTTCAATTATGCACTTCCTTCTCTGGCAAGAAGTTCTGATCAGTGGAGATCTTAGCGGGGTTTTCCTTACGTTTTTTCTGGAAGCCTGTTTTTTAGTTGCTCTCTTTTACAAGCCCTCATCACCTGCCCAGCTCTGGGACCAGAAAACCCCAAGATGCGGTGTTCTTGCGGATCCGACAGCAGAGGCACTTTGTAATGCTGACCGCTTTTATTTTAAGAGCGACCCAATCGCAGGCAGGCATCAGAAAGGATCGCCTTAATGACCGACCTGTCCTCTGAGCTTCAGTGGAAGCTCTGCGTCTCTGCCCTGGCAGCTCTGGCTGCAGCCCACGGCACTCTGTGCACCCAGCCGTTTTCTATTTTACCCTCTCAGAAGATGAGAGAAGACTGCCCAGGGGAAACATTGACCATAAACCATTTTAACAGGTAGAAGATTCCAACAGAACACAAATTTGATGGTAACAGCTGCCACATACAAAAGCCCTTGTTTTTTTCCTCTGTTCTTGAGCTCTAAAATGTTCTGGCACATGAGAAGCTCAGCAATATTGAGGTTTTTTAAGACCCTAGTTACTTTAAGCGAAGTATGGCACTTTGTCATAAGCGCTTAAATAACATTGCAAAGGGTGGAGGGACTTGTTTGGGCAAACTGTGTAACTGTTAACCACCTCACGGTAGTACTATTAGTAGAGTTGCACTACTAGTAGTAGTACAAGTACTACTAACCCTGGTATCGATGTGCATACTGTTACTGCAGTGGAGTGAGCTGTTTGGAGAACGGTAATGGAAGTAACACCAGGTTAACATCATCTGCGCTGCAAGTTTTAGTACTAGTAAAACAAATATTTCTGTGAGCACATGAAGCCTGCTTTCCTACAGATTTGAACGTGAAGGTTGTCGGGTTTTAGACCGAGTTGTACGAACGCAGCACAAGAAGCTCACGTTCTTATTTAACAGGACAGAGTCCCCATGAGGAAGGCTGACCCTGTGGATTATATTCTTTAATGTCTGTCTACTCAGGCAAGAATTCCGGTTTTGCTAAGGTTAGGGCATTTGTAACTTATTCTGTCCTCTGGGAAATCTTCAACGTATACTAAGTCTAAAAGACTGCTGTGCTGCAGTCTTTTCTTTAGCAGAGAGATTAAGGGGGATCTCCGTATAGTCAGATTAATTTAACAAAATTACAAGAAGTTGGTATTGTGACTCTTCTATCGAATTCGAATGGAGTTGGCCACCACTCCAGACCTGTTACAAAATGGGGGCAGACACAGCTGCGTGAGTTTTGTTCTCCAGGAAGGGTGAGAGAAGTTACATTAAAAAAACCTGTTAGAATGATGTAGTGCACTGTGTCAAACAGGTATTTTATGCTTCCTTATCAGTGTTTTGTTCTTGTTTATCTTTCAGTGGTTTAAATAACTGCATGGTTATCACGTGTGGGCGGAGGGGAGGAATCGGTCTGATAGGCACTGTGGGTTTGTTTTGATTTTTTTCCTGCTTGTTTACGATTTCAACTTTGTGCAGAGCTTTTCTCTTTTTGTGGTTTTAGTTACTTTTTGTTGTCGTTGCAGTGCAACAAAGAAATTTCATATTATGCAATACAGTAGTAGTAGAGATCTTTTCTGGATTTTCAGGTGCTGCAGGCCCACGACTATTTACAATACACCAGATTGATGCCAGCACTAATAATTTGCCGAAGGCTCATACCTGGTAAGAGTTTGTCAGGTCTCTGTTGTGATATAGAGATTAAGACCAATTTGCTGTCTCTATATTTTGAGCACTCTTCCCCCCCCCCCCCCCCCAACATAATAAATGCTATCCATTACAGAGTAGTAAAGGTGTGAAACCTAGAGATCGCTTTTATTTATATGAAGTTCTGTTGGCTTTGTCAAGTATTGCATTGTCGTCGTTTCAAGTACGTTAAATGAAGCGTGACAGAACTTTGCTAGGTGATGCTTCAAGTTCCAGATAGCTGAAACTTTTCTGCCTTCTGTCCGCAGCTTTAACCGAATAGACATTCCTCCTTACGAAAGCTATGACAAGCTATACGAGAAGCTGCTAACTGCCATTGAAGAAACATGTGGGTTTGCTGTGGAATGACCCTTCACAGGCTCACCTGAGACTCTATTTATACTCCTGTCAGCCAGAAAGCCCTTCCCTCAGCCAAGACTCAAGAAATGCTTGAAATACAGGAAACTTTCCCTTTTCTACACTAGGACACTGGGAGGGAAAGGACAACTTTGGATTTTTTTTTTTTTTTTTTTTTTTTAAGTTTTTTTTTTTTTTTTTTTTTTTTTTTTTTTTTTTTTTTTTTTTTTTTTTTTTTTTTTTTTTTTTTACTCCTGTCAGCCAGAAAGCCCTTCCCTCAGCCAAGACTCAAGAAATGCTTGAAATACAGGAAACTTTCCCTTTTCTACACTAGGACACTGGGAGGGAAAGGACAACTTTGGATTTTTTTTTTTTTTTTTTTTTTTCAAGAAAATAGGTTCTGTGGTTCCTGCCATAGGATCATTCAGCTGCTATTAAAAACTAATATCTTGAACATACAGAATGCTGACTTTTCCTACATTTCAACAGTTAAGCAGTATTCTATACTTAAAGACTACTACTATTTTTGTAAAAGGTAATCTATTATATTTGCCTACCTGATTTCTATTCTCAGATACCAAGGCACAACTTCAGCAGTCGGTACAAGTCACGTTTCAGCCTGTTTTAAATGTATGATACTGAACAGCATCTATACCTGCTATTTTTGGAAAAAAATATTTTGGATTATTCTAACTTTGCATAAAATTGGCTGAAAGAATCATTAATCTTTTTAATTAAAGCCACTTACATGTTAACTGCATTTTCTTATAGTAAAACATTATATTCTGCAATGTAAATTCAACTTAAAGGTTACCACAGGGGGCTTTTTTATATTTTTCAAGCATGAATTGCAAATACGATGTTTTGGGGTCCTATTTATATCACTTGTCAGATTCCTTAAGCAAAATTTCTAGTGTGAGTGACACATACTGTATTCGGTACAGTACTTGTGTTAACGTGTGGAATAGACCTTTTTTTAATGAACAGGAGACGTTTTGATTTTTTTTAAAACAGCATTTTTCTAACCAGTCTGTCAAGAGTATTTTTTGTTGCTGTTGACTTTAAATTTAAACACTGCATTTTTCAACTTCTTAAGCGTGCTGATGAGGTGATATTTGCCAGCAGAAGCCTGTCAGCAGTTCGTTTCAGAACCCATCCTGTCCAGTCAACCAAAGTTTGTTTGAATGCAGCCAAATCACATTATATATTTGTTGATGCTAAAGATTTATCAGGTAAAACATGTTGTAATCTTTGTCTAGCTGCTCATGACATGTGGGTTTAAGTTACAACTAAGGAAAAATGGTGTATTAACTGAAACATGTTTAATGTGCTTTGAAAATGAGGTTTTAAAAGCACATAATTTATTGATTGTAGGATGGAAGTAAGTATATATATGAATTATAACATGGGTTGATCTCTTCAAAGAGGAATAAAATGCACTACCAGTAGAGGGAACTGAACTTTGAAGTTAGTTTGGGAATTCTCAGTTAAGATCTGTATGATCTGCTCGTGGTGTGTAGATAAATCGGTCTGCTTAAGAGATGGTGGCATTCTCCAGAATATTTGGAATAAGTAGCGTTTTTTCCCAATCAGTGTTGTGTTTTTTTAACTTAGGTTACAATTAATCATCAAATCTGCACTATTTTTACACTGCCAATGAGAAGAAAGTCAAGGGTATTGAAAATGCTAAAAGAATGGGATATAAACAGCTGTTCCATTTTCACAGTGTAAGTCACACCATGAACTAGCTAATTTTCTGTCTGTTCTGTGGAGCTTGAACCTTTTTCTGCCAAATCTGACTGCCACAGTGAGTAAACTACTAGTGGTGTTGTGTATTAGAATAGTGGGCAACGGACTACTTTTGTAGAATTGTGGTAAGAATCTGGTGAGCCAAATCCACATGTTCATTTGATTATTTCTTGTTTTGTACAGCTGTTGCTGGAAGGTTTGTTCTGAGAGACTTGCTTCCCATTCTGGGCTGGCTGCAGAGATGAGGCTACTTAGGGATGTAAACATACAGCCGAGAAACTTGCTTTGACAGCCAGGTTTGAAATATATCAGACCCTTTTTTCCTTCGTTTCAAGGGACTATTGCACTCATGCAAAATGGCTGGTACCTTTGCCTCTCCAGTTGGGATCCCTAATTCACGGCTTTCGGGTGGTACCGTTACCAGAGAAGCTACCACCGCAACTGTCCAGGGTGCCTGGGAGAGCAGAGTAGGCTGTTGCCCAGTGTGTTTGTTACTCAGTACTGCTGCCTGTGGCTGGGACCACCGCTTTAGGCGCTCCCAAAGACCTCACCCCTGCAAGTTCTGAGGTATGGTGTGAATTACTATTCACGGAGACTTTACAGAGACAGGTTCTTTTGACCACTGCTCACAGGATAGACACTCC